TTCAGTGGTAGTATTAACTAAGTTCCTGTCCTACAGGAGCCGGAAAATAAAAGCTGTACATTACGTGATTTGCCTCGTGTCTCTAACACTACATTCCAGCCGATCATTAGAAATAAAGGTATACTAGAATGTAATAATACCGTGTAGTGGCGGTGTTAGACCCCTCATCGTCCCGAGTCCCGAGGGTGTCGTAAGAGTCAACAGAGGGAAAATGAAACAGGAGATGGGCAACAGCATCTTCCTGATAATAAATCAAAATAACAAAAAAAAAACTGCGGTTGCCAACCCGCTTGCCAAGCGTGGCCACTACGGCAAATCCCCCATGAGGTAAAACATGAAGGAGACCATGTTCAGCGGTGAACTTTTATAGGCTGTAACGAATGTGTAATCTTAATGGGTCCAGAGAACATCATTACTATATTATTGTTATTTACATATACATATAATGTAGCAATAATGTCCTCCAGACAAAATTTCGGTCACGGCGGCCAGCCTCAACGGAGACCACCCATCTGCGCAGGAGAGGATTATAGAGCTCCAGAGTATGCGCAAGCACATGTGCACTCTCTATTCCCTCACTCACATAGCGCGATGGGACGGCAAGCCGATTGAATACCAGCGTGAAGTAGCAGCTTGACGCTGCTGTGTTTCGTATGGTGAGTGTAGAGAACCGGAGACCCTTTTTACTGGAAATGAGACATTCCATCTTAGTCCTCACGGGTGACAACGCATCTGCATTTTGATTTGTAATAGAGGATAGATGTAGATGTCTATGGGCCGCAGCAACCACTTATCATCAGGTGGACTGTGTGCTCTTTTGACCCACGGCTTTACGTGCTCTTTGAGGCGTTACTGGGAATTTCTTGACCGAAAAACACAATAACTAATGTAGCAACTATCTATATGTTCAAAGTTCATAATAAATACTAAATAAGTATTTATATAATTTTGCCACATGTTAGTGGTTTATCTGTAACATGCCTAATAGTTTTAATTCAACATTCTTCACACAAAATATTTTCATAACAAAAACTCTAGAGTTTTGATTGCATTAAATTAATGTTATTTTAATATCACAATATTATTATTCTCATGATAACATTATCGAGATGCATGCTGTATTTATTGTAAGCACGTGGCTTAGCGGTCATCGACCTGCAAGACGCGTGGTACGAAATTGTGATTCGAACCCACCCAAGTTCGAATTACAATCACATTCGACTACTTTCTTGAACCATTCCTAACATAAGAATTTTAAGCTTACTACTTGAGCAGATAAAGCATGGTATTATAAATGGCGTCTTATTTATTTACCTCTCGCTTGCACACTGCCGATTTCTATGCTCACAACCGACGGTGATAACCACAAAAAAATAACGTAATTAATAAGAAAGTGTTTTTGTGCTTCTAATTTCAGGCCCGAGTAACAAAACATAAATGTTCAATATACTTATGTGTAAAGTATCAATTTGTTTTATAAAGTATCAATTATTATTAAATTACCAAAAATAAATATTGTTTGTTAATTGATCCCTATTTAATATTCTATACGTGGTAGAGCCATGCTGCAGCTATATTAATAGTATAGTTGTAGCACAAATGGGTCGGTTCGACCGGAGAAGTGATCCGTGGAAGTTTTTGAACAAATTAGAAAGTCATGTAGTTTCTTTTTATTACCACCAGGACCACGCTCTCACAGAATACCAGCGTACAATAGCAGCTTAATGCTGCTGTGTTTCGTATGGTGAGTGTAGAGAACCGGAGACCTTTTTTACTGGAAAAAGCATTCCATCTTAGTCCTCACGGCTGACAACGCATCTGCGTTTTAATTCGCAAACGAAGATAGATGTAGATTTCTATGGGCCACAGCAACCACTTACCATCAGGTGGACTGTGTGCTCGTTTGTCACCCTTATTCTATAAAAAAAATATTCAGTTAATAATTTAGTACATAATTCATATCATTTTAATATACTAATCAGTTTTTTCAATAACTAAAAAAAAATATAATGATGTAAAGTTATGTGCGTCGCTTTCGCTTTCCGTACCGTGTAACCTGATAGTAAAGGCTCGGCGAGCCGCCATTTCTAATCCCATTCCTTATCCGCACGGGTAAGTACTTAAAGTGGTCAACGGGAGTATTGGTAATGTTAACAGCATTAATAATAGTTTTTTTTTATAAAAAAAGAGCATTGGGCATATTCTGGGATGTTGGTATGACACAGTCATCGTATGACTTCTTCGTTGGTCCAATGGTCGCAATCGCGACTGCTCATCATGAGGTACCGGCTTCTACAACCCGGGTCGGGCTAAAATCAGTTAAGTATTTGATTGTCAAAAAATTGTCAGTAACAACCCAGAGTTAGAAAGTCGGCGCTGAAATGCACTTATAGAAATATAAGCACAAACAACTAACAGTTCACCAAATTTTAAACCCCTGCTGTTGCCCATGAACACTAGCATCCAACCTTAAACAAAGAAGGCCATTGTTATCACCCCTAACTACAATAATAATAATAATAATAATAATAACTCAAATCAGGTGATGTCGCGCGCTCAAAATGGATGTCGGGGCGGTGGTCGTGGAACCAAGGAACCACTCCTCATTGACGCGGTCATTGGCAAAGTGGTTAAACGCAACCGTCGGAACCTATCCGCCGCCTGGATAGACTACAAAAAGGCATTCGACTCGGTGCCTCATACATGGCTGAAGAGGGTCCTCGAGCTGTACAAGGTTGACTGTACAGTTAGAGACTTCCTCGGGCAGTGTATGGGGCAGTGGAGTACGATCCTTTGTCATCTAGGCGAGCGGATGACGGCTGCGGAGAACCACATAAGGATAAGAAGGGGTATCTTCCAGGGCGATTGTCTGAGTCCAATCTGGTTCTGCCTCTCTCTGAACCCTCTCAGTACCTTACTGGAGGGCTCCGGGAGGGGATTTCAGCTTCGGAGGGGAGGTACAAAAGTGACCCACCTTTTCTATATGGATGATCTCAAGTTATTCGCCTCCAGTCGCTCTCATCTTGTGGAATTGTTAAACATCACTTGTGATTTTAGCAATTCTATTGGAATGGGGCTGGGGACGGATAAGTGTGCGGTCCTCCATGTTGAAAGGGGAAGGGTTGCTAACTCTGAGGGCATAGATTTATCTATGCCCATCAACATAAGGACCCTTTCCGAGGCTGAAACATACCGATACCTGGGTATGTCACAGAACATCGGTGTAGATGAGGCGGGTATGAAACAGTCAGTTTGCGATGTGTTTTATGCACGCTTGACAAAAGTGCTTAACAGCCTTTTGTCCGGTGTGAATAAGACGCACGCATATAACGGTTGGGTCATGCCTGTTCTCATGTATACCTTTGGCATACTTAGGTGGACTCAGACCGAACTAAACGCTCTGGACAGAAAAGTCCGCACTATAATGACGTCCCACAGGATGCATCATCCGAGATCGTCAGTAATGAGGCTGTACTTGCCGCGGAAGCATGGTGGGCGCGGCTTTTTAAGCGCGCTTACCATGCATAATCGCGAAGTGTGCAGCCTCCGTAATTACTTTCTGACGAGAGCGGATGATCCATACTATAGGGACGTTATTTCTTGTGATAAAGGACTGACCCCTCTATCCTTAGCCAACGAGCAATGGCAAGACCCAGCAGTACAGTGCATTTCCGACCGGGAGGCCGTATGGAAGGAGAAGGAGCTCCACGGGAGGTTCTACAAGGCTCTACATGAGCCTTTCGTAGACACAGTCGCCTCCCTTCACTGGCTACGTTTCGGTGACCTCTTTGGGGAAACCGAGGGTTTTGTCTGTGCGATACAGGATCAGGTTATTAAGACCAACAATTATCGGAGATACATCCTAAAGGATGGCGCCGTCGACATCTGTCGAGCTTGTCGCCATCCCGGTGAGTCACTTAGGCATGTCATCTCCGGTTGTTCGGCGCTTTCTAACTCTGAGTATTTGCACAGACACAATCTAGTAGCCAGGATTCTACACCAGGAGCTCGCTCTGAAATACGGCCTCGTGGATCGGAAACTGCCGTATTATAAGTACTTGCCGGAAGCCGTGCTCGAAAATGACCGCGCCAGGCTCTACTGGGACCGGGCCATCATCACAGACAGGACTATTCTTGCGAATAAGCCTGATATTGTGCTGATGGACCGGGCACAGTCAAGGATCTTTTTGGTCGACATTACCATTCCTTATGACGAGAACCTCGTGAAAGCCGAAACAGATAAGGTGACAAAATATCTGGACCTGGCTCACGAGGTTACCGGCATGTGGGGTGGTCTGCCGGCCGAAATTATTCCTGTGGTCGTTTCTGCGAACGGGTTAATCCCAGTCAGCCTCCCGGGTCATCTGAGGCGACTGGGACTCAAATGCAGAAGGCGGTGCTCCTTGATACCGCCCGCATCGTCCGCCGGTTTCTTTCCCTTTCCCCCTAACCCTCGGCCGTCTGGTCTCCCCTGCCGAGGGCTTCCATCTGGTTGGGTTTTTATATATTTATGTATTTTTTATGTATTTATTTTATTTTATTCATATTTATGTATGTTTACCATTTTCATTTACAATTATATATTTACACTGCCCAAACAGCTGAGAAAACTTTATAGATACCCCAAAATAATAATAATAATAATAAATCATTTATTCTGGACCAAACCTTTAGTACATTTTTCACACCCACCAAACTGCGTAACAGTTTGTCGGCGGGACTGCGTAACAGTTGAATGAAATGCCTATCAACCTGTGATTATGTTTAACTGTTTCAATGCTGAAATACTCGAATCGATATGTCCGTGCTGTACAAGTTAACGTGTTAGAAAACAAGATTATTTAAATAAAACAACTTTTTTAAATGTTACTAGTACATAAGAACAAATATTTCATTTTGAATCGAGCGTTGAACGGTAAGTAATCTAAAGTTTCGCCGCACTAAAACGTAAGAGTATTGTATAAAATATGCATAATATATAAATAAAACGTAAATAAATACCTCCTTATGACCAGGTATCGTGACCTTGCCGACGTCCTGACTCAGCTTAATGCGAGGCTGTCCGTTTACTTCTACCAACTTGTAAACACATCCTAACGCAGGTTGACGTTGACAAGTTACTGTAAATGAAGCGATGCGTGAGGAAAACTTGTGTTACTAGGCCAGTCATTTGATTACATGTAGTTTTAGTTTTTAGTTTTTTTTTAAAAAAACGTTACCCCCACACCAGGATTTTCTCCTGTGTCGTGGAGGCAGTTTACAAACATAAATTGCACAAGGACTAACATCCAGACCCGGAACAATTATTTGTAGGCCATACAAATACTTGTTCCGTGCGGGATTCGAACCCACGGCCCCCAGCGCAACAACTGATTGCTAAGCCACTGCGCTACGGAGCCGTCAGTAATCAAATGACTGGGGTACTTCAATCATTTCATTAACAGACTTTAAGAAAAAGAAAAGATTCACAATGCGACGCTATATCTCCGTCAAGTGTGACTTCAAAAAGGAGAAGGTACTCAATTCGACTGTTTGCTTTTTTTTATGTGTGTTACCTCATAACTTTTTGCTGGGTTGAACCGATTTCGATGATTCTTGTTTTTTCTTTTTCACTTGAAAACTGGTGCTGCTCATGTGGTCCAATTTATCATGGTCTAACCAATAGTTTTTGAGTTATTCTTAATACTTTATATTGAAGTCGGTTGTACAAAGTTTTTAATTTTTAATTATTTATTAAATAGGGAGATAGTTCCAAACTTCAGAGATAGTTCCAAATTAATTTTAAGGAAAAGTTATTAATCAAACAACAATAAATATACAATCTACTTCATAATTATATTTGCGCCGTCGGGGGATCGAAATCAGTTTGCTACGTTTTTCTTGTGTACAGATGTATTGTTTTATTATGTTTTGTGAAATCAAATTGTAACTCTATTAGGTAGATAAAAACCAACTGCAACGCGTGGACGACTTTCGCAATAAAGTTGAAAATATTTACGCCGCAGTAAAACAAGGACAAGTTGTTAGAATATCAAAAAATATATGAAACTTACCTAAATGCGTTCCAATTCCGAAGCAATCGATTTTATGTCCTTGCTCATTCAAACTAAGTATGGTCTCCTCGTTTATATCATTGGAGGCGACAATGGTCAACTTGGAGAACCAAGGGAGCTTGAATACTTCGGCGATTTGTTCGAAGGTACTCCTTGCTAACACCGACAGGTAAGCCAAGTCGCCGCTGTCGATACGAATGCCCACAGCTCTGTACCCACAATCGTTCAATGCCAGAGCAACTGCACAGAAGTTTAATAAACCACTCCTGCCAAGAAAGACAAAATATTTGGAACAACTTGACAGTTTTAAGATGATAGGTATTAAATTTTACAAGCTTAAAACAGTAATTTAAAAGAGCCGACTACGTAAAAATGATTAATGAATACTGGAGAATTTTTTTATACCCTATGTCACTTCCACAATTAAAACGAATCTAAAGGCACCCGATCCCCATATGTTAAAGTTCCTCAAGCCGTTTAGGCTACAGAGCGTGCCAAAGAAATAGACATACATACATACATACTCACGAAAAGCATTACTCTCCTTTTGGGGCAGTCGGATAAAAATAAGAAATACGCATCACTGGAATGTTATTTTTCAACTATAAGTAGCTTTCATCATCATCGTCATCACCATTATCATCATTACAGCCCATTAAAGTCTACAACTGAACATAGGCCGACCCCAAAGAATTCTACAAAGCATGGTCCTGAGCTACCTGCGTCTATCGATTTCCTGCATTTCATAGTGGTACGGCCCGCCTACTGTGCAAGTACTGTTTAAAGTGACAATTATTACAAATTTCATATGGTATATTTACCAAACTGACGTAACGGAATGGTGCATAGAACTTTTACTTATTACTATCCGGGATAGCTATAATAAATATTATTTGCTTATTACAAAAATCTGGATGTTTGGCCGCCTAATTCATAACTGTTATTTAGTTTTAAAATGAGTAAATTTCTATAGGATAAGAACTTGTTATAACCTATATTAGCAGCTGGCCATCATTGTGGATGCTTTTATTTATTTTTGTTCATAGTTTTTTTTTTTTTAGTTTAGTTGTTATCTTGGTATAATTCACTTAACATTTAATCACTACGTTCAGCTCATCATATCCTAAATCAGCAGTTCTTAAACTCGGGTCACGAACTAAATTCATGCCGCGACTCAATTGCCCAGCCTGCATTTAGTGAATAACGAGAGTCCAAAATTATTTTACATTAAACAGTTGTTAGCCACTTATTTTTCGAATATGTTTGTAGATCCCGATTAACTAAAATTCCAATGAAGTGAATCTTTATTAATAATCATAATCATAATTATTGTTACTACTGTCACTACTCTCATCACTAGCATTCTTGATACTTGAAACTTGGATACTGCACATTGAATAAAACTAATTTTACGGATATTTTTTTTTATAGGATAGGGTGACAAACGATACATTCAAATATTATTATATTTTTCTTGTCCATATTTAGTATTATTGATATGGTAAAATAATGTCTCTTATAACTAATATGTAAAATAATCAGGCCTAGAAGAAGAGGGTAAACTGCGATAGCACCGGTCCCCAAATCCGCTTGTCTAAAATAGTTCTTACGGATTTAACTTTGGATTTAATACTAAGCAGTGATGATAATGATGATGATAAAATACAAGGTTATTTTGCAATAACCGGCCAAATTTGCAGAGAAGATTCAGAATAAGTAATATAGACAAATGGTGAAGAAAAATTAATAAAAAAAAATTCAAACATTCTGTCCTTTTCATCTTTTAAATTCAAAATGCGTGGTAATGCATTATTTTAACTGATTGTCATTCATAAATATCTAACGCCTACTATTTTACTACGCACGCACACATGCGCAAGGGTCGCTCGGTCGGCAAAAACGTTGTGAATTGAATCGCAGACAGAAGAGCGCGCGTACGCGTAGTTGTTGCCCATAAATCATATTCAATTTGGGATAATTTCAAATATATAAGTGGAAGCCTTATTTACTCGTATTTTGAAAAACTGCAATAATAGTATATCATTATTAATAATTTGAACTTAAGTTTAAAATTTGGCTACTCTTTGAAAAATAACCCCGTATATACATACAGACCTAAAAGTATAGGTCCATTGAAATTTAACGACGTTAACAAAGGAAAACTGCAAGAAAATATACCCAATAAATTCATAGTCTATAAAAACAAAATTAACCAAATAAAAACAATAACAATTCTTTAAGATAACAAAAGCTTCGTGATTTAATCAATAATTGTATAAATACAACCCATTGAACCGATCTCTACAATGTGTTTAATAAGTAATAAAGTTCACCCCAAGACCCGCCCAATGATAACAACTTTTAAAACACAAAGTACTACACAACTGCATTATCTAAATGAAAACCATACACAATTGTCCTGTTTTAGTGTTTGAATAAATTGATGATGATGATTAACCAATACGTGCAAATATATAAAACAAAGTGAGCGTGTATGTGTGCATATCCCAATACAATGCAACTGTGCCCAATGACAAAATTGTCCACATTTTTCGTTCTCAGGTCCAGGACAATACGTCACACTGAAGCAAAATGTAAAAGGTCCTCCTATAGGAACGCATTCTCTTTATATACATTAAGTTGAAACATGAAGTGCAGTCCATTCGCACTTCACTAACAAAGCAAAGTGATGTAATGTCAGATCTGTAAACTACGCTCATGGGGAATTTCGTAGATCAAATGTCTAAATGTGTTAGAAGTGTGCTGTTAATATTTGAACCACTGATGCGGATTGTTCATGTCCACCTATACTATGAATGTTGAATGACGGTGGCTATACTGACCGCATGGCAGCCATTGTTTATAAGAAATCCACAAACTTACAAATAAACGATGAGACGAACAACCCTAAACAATAATAATAGATTATTTTACACCAATGGCAACGTGTGGTCTATTTGCATGTTTACCTCAATGTGCGTTCGACCGTGCTATATCCATATGTACTACGTATAACTGTGGAGTTGCTTATTCTAGTGACATTGGTTCCACAGTTGCTATTGTAGCCGGAATGCCCATTCATACGTTGCCCGTGTCGTAAGCCTTGAATATTATACCTCTTCATATCATATGTGTCCACAAGAGCCAAAAATCCGGTGGGAAAAGCTATGGCATACGACATCAAAGCGGCAAGTTCGCCATCGCTTGCTTCTTCTGGTGACACGTCTATTATAGATGAAATGCGTTTCCGCCACTCTAATGATAATTCCAACATATTATACTGTTCAAGCGAATCCGCGTGTCTTAGCATGACTGAGGTGATGTCATCGAGTGTGCTAAACGACGTCACAAACGAATGTGCGTGCGTCCCTTTAACGGGTATATTGAACATCTTCCCGGCTAGTACGTTACTTGTTCCATCAAATCCACCTGTAAATATATAGAAATATTTTAAGAATGTTTCAAAAGAGTTTTCTGGAAAGATAGAAAAATAATTACACACGAATTAGGATTGAACTAAGAATATTATATTGAAAGTGTTAAAAAAATGTGGTAAAACTTTTTCCTTGCTACGTGAATCATATTATATTGACGATATTTCGATTATTTAACTATTTTTTCTATTTCGCGGGCAGGGACTGTCAATACAATTTTTTATATTAAAAACATTCAATCGACATAAGTCATTGCCAAAGATCAAAATTACGAAAATTTTGTTTACCTACGTTTTTCCCTTTTTATTGCAGTTTGTTGAAAAATAAAAAAATATAGTAGCCTGGCAACAATACTGTAAGACTTGAAGTAAAAGGACCTAATTAAAATTAAAAAAAAAGTAATCCGACCGATACGACCGCAGAAAGATCAAGCGCAGGACAACTTTAAGTGCACGTGGGTGAAACACCGCCAATTTCCTTGCTACTGAGAATTACTTCACAGTTAAACCCAATAACTGATTTTGGATGACACAGGATCCAACCCACCACCAACCTTTATATATAGCTTTATACAGTTTAGTCCTTTCAATCTCTCAATATTTTTCATTATTGGTGCAAAGCTATTTAAATTATATTAATTGACATAATATCTTAAGAGTATACATAATACCTTGCTTATGTATACTCTAATCATAATATTAATTAGCCCCAATTTTACCTTTTATAGAATAGAATAAAATTTGAATTCAGTATAGATTTTAAATAATGCTTATGTATTGAAATTCATTTAAGCTTTAAACACTGGTGCGGAAAAACTTCTTTCCCGGAAGAACTAGCAAAAAAACTCAGCCTGATTTATTTATTTTCGAAATATACGAGGGCGACACTGAAAGTTTTTAGAACTGGCCACTTGTAAACGATATAATAAAAAATAAGTCAAAATTTTAAAAATGGAACTCTGTCAATACTATTGTGTATATATTTTATTAATTTGTCATTTTTGTTTACGATTTGGCGGCAAATTTAAAATTGTCTGTGTCACGTTAGCATGAATTTAACGCGAGAAAATTTTCGTACAATGATTTTTTATGACTTTCGATATCATTTAAGTCTACAAAAAAGTTATGATAGACTTCGATTGGCCTTTCACGATGAAGCCTAATCTCATGCCACTGTTTATAACTGGTTTAATGAGTTTAAACGTGGTCGCACTAATCTCACCGATGATCTGCGTTAGGGACGGACTTCTACGGCGACGACTGAAGATTACATTAGTGTTGTGCGGCGTATGATAGAGACTGATAAAAGAGTGACTTATCAGCAGATTCGGACAAGCTTAGGCATCGGTATGAGTCAAGTGCACAAAATCATCCATGAACATTTAGCGGTTAGGAAGCTTTGTAGCCAGTGGATATACCTCATAATTTGACAGAGGCCCAAAAACTCCGTCGTGTTGATTGGTGTCGTGAAATGGTTCAAAGATTTAATGGAGGTGACTCAAATGCTGTGTTCGACATACTTACGGGGGACGAAAGCTGGATTTATTGTTATGATCCTGAAACTAAGATATAGTCTGCTGTCTGGGTGTTTCCTTCCGAGGAGTTGCCAACTAAAGTGAAGAGAGGTCGAAGCGTGTGAAAAAAGATGGTGGCCTTGTTCTTCGGAAGGACAGATTATTACGCAACAATTGTTTTAGAGGATCGAAAAACAGTTACTGCAGAGTGGTACCCTAACAATTGTTTGCCACTTGTCTTGGAAAAAATTCGGGAGAAACGACCTCGCACTAGGATCCTCCTTCACCACAACCACGCCTCGTCGCACACCGCCAAGCAAACAATCGACTACTTGGCGACGTCAGACGTGGAATTACTGGGTCACCCGCCCTATAGCCCCGACCTCGCACCTTGCGATTTTTATTTATTTCCGAAAGTAAAAGAAAAACTTCGAGGAAAACGTTTTATAAACGCCGAGGAAGCAGTGGCTGCGTTTCAAAATGCCGTCGAAAAGACCCCTAAGGGCGAGTGGGCAAAGCTTTTCTCAGTGGTTTCATCGGATGCAGCGATGTATTGATGTAAAGGGACACTATTTTGAAAAGATATAATGAAACTAATAAGTTGCTAGTTTGTTTAGTTTTTGATTGTCTAAGAACTTTCAGTGTCACCCTCGTAAGATCAAAATGTATGTATAATACTAAATAATAAAAATTCTTTTTAAAAACTGTTTAGTTGTGATTGCCTCATTTCCACGTGTTTTTATCAACCATTTATGTTATTATGAAATGTGTACAGTTATAAGATGATATGCCACAGACGTCCTCATTTCTTAAATAATTTTTAAGTTAATATTGTTTTTAAATGTATGTATATGTTTGCACAAAGTCGTAAACATAGTTCGTCTTACATAAAGTACTTTAGTTTCGCTTAAACTAGTCTGTTTCAATAAAGAAGTCCTGACAGTAAATGTCCAATTCCCAAAGACTGTGTTGCCATGGATAAGGGATAAACTATGGTTTAAGACTCTTCTTAAACCATAGTTTAAGCCGAGATTATCTATAAACTACGTTTTGTAACAAAACGGAGTTTGATTTTAATAAAAATAACTATAATTAGCGTACCTAAAGCTAACGATCGTGTTTTATAGACGTAAAATAAATGAAATCTGTGACATTCGGGACGTATTATATTTAATAAATATGGATTATTTTAATTATCGCATGGCCTTACATAGAACAATTTATTTATATCTTCATATTATATATACAATATAATTTTTCTGTCCGTGTGTATGTGACTGAACTCCTAAACGGCTGGACCGATTTTGATGAAATTCAATGTGTGATTAAGTTGATTCGAGAATGGTTTAGATTTACAATTAGACCCGGTAGGCGGCGTTGTTGTCGAAATGCAAAAATCACCCGTGTGAAGCCGGGGCGGATCGCTAGTTTCTATTTAATAATTATATCTTTTTGTACTTATACAAAAATACGAAAAATATATTCATTACTGCATCTTCATCTACCGTAGTAAGTTCGGTAGAATCGGGTATCCAGACAAGATGCCAAAAAATTAATAAATATGCAAATGAGATTCTGATTTCTTAGGTAAGATAACAATTAAATGAGTAAAGTCAAATATTTAGGTATACAAGTATACTAAATCCAATGCGGTTTAACCAGATTCTAATTAACCTTGTATGCAAGGTCTAGAACATGAGTTCTATCAAAACTTTGGAATTAATACTTCGGTGCCAGCAATGAAAAACTTTTCAATGTCAAGGACCGAAGTTCGCATGATTAAAAAATATCGGTGCTTCTTGTGAGTCAATGACGCGGCGGTCGTGTTATATTGTACAAGTAAGAAGGCAGGGCCCGTGCCAGGCACGACAGGCTCGGTTACACCGGCAACACGATCTGCAGGAACACGCTAATGTAATCAATAAGTTTAGGCAAGATAATTTTCGCTTTATTGTAGTCACAAAATTGACGAATTAAACTAACCAACGTAGGCATATTTCGACGCAGATAATCCACCATCGGGGCCCTGCGCTCTACGCAATCCGAATTCGAGCAAAGACACATTCTTGCCTGCGACCATTCTGTAACGCGCTGCGTTTGTAGCCATTAAACTGAAACATAAATCACCGAATTATTATTCATTCTACTAAAATACTACCATTAAATAGGTCAAAATATAATTATCTACCATTTAGTTTAAAACAAAATAAAAAAACATTTGTTACATTAAATAAAGCAATAGAAGAAATGGCGAAAGTTAAAGTGAAAACAATGTGCAAAAAAAACTGTAAAGAATGAATAAAATGGAACCGGTACCTACTTAGTCTTGATACATCTCATTTGAATAATTAATTTTGTCATTGCAATTGTAATATTGAAATTAACATGAAATGAAGTGGATTTCAGAATATAGTTTATTCATTACGATTTTATTATAATGGACCATTACATATTTTTATATTATTATTTATCTCATCAATACCAATGATATGGTAGGTAACAAAATAGCTTTTAAAGATATTAAAAGCCATAATTTTGTTACATGCATTCATTTAATTTATTTCCATTTCATATAATATGTACATCTAATTTAGATACCATTAAACTAATTTTAAGCTTTTACCGTGCAAAAGTTTAATCTTGCAATATATCGAGCACACACATATTGATTTTTATTATCTTCACGTAGGGAATTCTGAAAAGTAATATTGTAATTAAGTTGTTTAGTCATGCCTTGTACTGATTACAACTAATAGATACCGAACGATAAGCACTGACAGACAGGTTGCAAGATAAAGTATACAGTGCAGTGTTTCTGTTATAAAACGGCTGAATAAAGAGTCAAGTCAAGGCCGGAGTCATAAGCGTTCGGCGGAGCGTGAGGTAAACAAACGAGCTGCATCGACATCGACGGCTGTAATTTAAGAGCATGCATTTATTTATTTATTTTTATTCTGACTCGTCAACGGCATTGGATAGGTACAAGGCATTGTTACATGGCTTAAAATATAAAAAGAAAAATATTCCGATACGCACGCCTTATACAAACGTGTACAACATTCGTGACACGTGTTGCGATTTGATACATTATTAATAAAAAAAATATAACAAAAAAGAAGTGAAGATGCTCAGCTAAATTATGTAATAAAGCTCGCAAAAACACGCTCCAAAAGAGTAGCCACTTAATTTCACATTTAATATGATAATGCAGAACAGTGACGTTTACACATCAATTAACTCAACAGATAGTCCTGCACGTGTACGTTGTATGTGCCACAACATGTAAATATTAAGTTATGCTTGTTCGAAGTTGCTTACCTTGCGAAGTTAACTAGGGTCAGTAAAGTCGTCTCTAATAGTTGTGCCACTATAAGCGGACCTTCTATTCGCAACAGGGGTACTCTGAAATTATAATTAAATGTAAGTGGCGACTTAGCAACAGTAGCATCAAGTTTTTCTTTTTACACGGCGACCTATCTTTAATAGTGTAGTACATTACATATGAAATTGCAGTTGTCTTGAATGTCTTATTATTTATTTTTAACTGCTTAATTGTGGGGGCGATTTTACATACAAACTGCATATCAGCAAACACGCAGAGCCAGGATAATTATTTGTATGTCATACAAATATCAAATACATGTTTCGTGCTACATTAGAACCCGTAGACGCTAAACGCTTAGAAAAAAATTAAAAAAATTATAAAATTATGTACGCGTTCTCTAGAATTTTAAAAAGCAAATTCACGAACAACTTAATTAATACATTTATTTACCATCATGAGTATAATTTGCCAACTTGAGATTATCAATAATTCGCGATGTAAGGTCGCAGGAATAACGTGACTGTTCTTTATATTCTTTCGGTACTTAGGAAATTTTTTTGCGTTTCAAAAACGTCGCGTATAATTTATAGTATAACTAGCTGGCCAGGCAGACGTTCTGCCCTCTCCGACGACCCTTTGTCTTATAAAAATCCTTAAATCGTAATAAAAAATATTGAGGGTCACTTATCGGGATAAAAACTATCCTATCTCTCAAGTTGGAGCAAACTGCACATAGTGAGCAAAATTTCATTGCAATCAGTTTAGTAGTTTAGGAGTTCATCGCGGACAAACAATGTGACACGTAATTTTTATATATAAAGATAATAATTTATATAAGTACTATAAATTATACGTAATATAATTTGAAAAACTTCAAAATTTTACTGTGCAATTTTTAAACGCAATAAATAAAATCATATACTTTTCGTTAAAAAACTTATCTGGTCAATACAACATGTAACAAAAACCCTGTGGTTCCCGTTAAGTACGTTATCAGGATCAGTATTCAAACCTGTAGAATTAACTTTTTTTTTAAAAACGACCATAATTTTTATTTTATTTTATTAAAGAAATTTTTTAATTTTATATGGTTTTATTACCTCTTACTGACACTAGCCGATGCTAAAGCTAAGTAAAGCGGGGTCTTTGACAATCCTCTTACTCCCCAGACAATGCATAGATAATAAAACCACATACAATTTGAATACAATTATTTAAAAAAAATTGTTCGAGTTTTAAAAAAAATTCTATAGGTTTGAATAATGATCCTGATAACATACTTAACGGGAACCACAGGGTTTTTGTTACATATTGTATATGGCCAAAAATCAGAATTGAGATGTGCAGGTGAAAATAATAATAGAAGTACAAATAATATTTTACGCGGACCTTAGTAAATTTCAAAATTTTAAAAGAAAAAGTTTTTTCTAAGTCTAACCATAATTATAATCGAATTGGACTGAAAGTTCCCAACTTTCCGTTTGAATCAATTAGGGTTCTGTACCCGATTATTATTTTATTATTATTTTAAATTTCACTGGTAGTCCCATATAAATTTGAAGAGAAAATTAGGTGGCTAATTACAAGTTGTAGTTTTTAATGTTACATTTATTTAGACAATAACATATACATTTATTTAAAATACATATTTTAAATAAGTGTATATATATATATATACATTTATTTAAAATATATGTACAATAATATATATTATATTTATTTAAAATACATATATTTTAAATATATGTATATGTTATTGTCTAACTAAATGTTACATTAAAAACTACAACTTGTAATTAGTCACCTAATTTTTTCTTCAAATTTATATGGGATTACCCCTGAAATTTAACCTTTAGAATCAAAAAAGAATCATCAAAATGAGTTTATAATTGACGAGATGGGGAAGGCCCAACTCTTCGCTTACTGGTATGAGGCTGCCACTTGAAAACCTTTAATCCTAATCAGTTATCGGTTATTTGGGCCATATAGCCGGCCCATTGCCACTTCAGCTTACTGATCCATTGAGCTATGTAGGTCACTCTGGTTCTACTGCGGACAACATCATGACAAAATATATCTGCAGTGAAGGACCACATCTCAGATTCATATGTCATAACTGGTAATTGCATGCATTATTCCTGATTAAATACCTAGAACACTGTATAAACTTCTGCTTTCATATAAATACAGAGCTTGCAGAGGTATTTACAAAGGTTAGAAAACTTCAGTACACTCAAATCCTTAGCTTGAAATACTTGAAGCAGATACACTCTCAATGGTTTATGTAAATTTTTCTTCTAAAGTTGTTTTGTTAATTTTCTATATACAATGATTTCTGGGAAGGTGGTTAATATGACCCATATTTGAGTACCTTCCATGTTTGAGCTCATAATGCTATTTGTTTAAAACCAAAACCATTGTTTTGCAATGGTATTTATTTGGAAAGCAACTTTGTAATGACATGGTTTTATAAATCATTGAAGGGTGATAGTTACTAGATTAACTGCAAATATGTACAACATTGATAACTGGTGAAGCATTGATTAATGCCGCCCGGAGATGTTTAAGCTGAAAATGCTGCCATAAAAGCCCAGTAATTTAGTTCTTAATTTTTTTAGAAAACTATGTGTCTCCAAATGCTGAAACTTTGTATGCATAGATTAAAAAGCAGTTCTTTCTTACATGAGTTATATGAAAGTGTAGTAAAAGTCGTTGTCATACATCTCTGCTAAACACAAATCCTAGTATCACTTGCTTAATCAACTCTCCTATTCTTACTTCACATATCATTTAATTTTCTTTTTCAAAAACCTTCATCTTACTTGCATTCACTTTCATTGCCCTTTCTTTTATGACCTGTTCATTACAAAACCACATTACTCGCAACTCATTACACAAATATGACTTGATTGTAAGCGTACAAAAGTTAACTCACCCATTCTAAACACACATTCTTCAGCTTTCAAAGTTTCCAATCAACTGTCCATAAATAGATTGAACATCCATGAGGAAGCTACACAACCTGATACCTTTATTGATGTGAAATCAGGCCAATTAGTCCTGATACAAACACTAGAGTCCTATAAATGCTTGTGCCAGCCTAGTGCTCAACACTAACGACACAGTTTAAAGAGTGTAACAGTTGGGAAATGAATGTACTTGTGCAGATTAATGACAGGGGCCTTGCAGGGCAGTGGGCAGCACAACCTTGTGCCAGCGCACTCCACTAAGTCTGCTGTACAATTCATGCGATTGACACAAGCATGTTTTATAGAACTCGTTTAACTAATTTTAAGTGCTGTCTTCCAAAAATATAATATCTATAATGGTGAATTACTGTTATAGTTATATGAGTTACTAAGTAAAGTTGAATTCAAATGATGGCCATGCTTATGTTTCCCCTAATTTTTTTTTGATAAAATTGGTTATCTACATGCGATTACATTACAAAATTAAATTTAAGAATCGAAAACTGAAAACATCTATAAAAAGAGTGTAACGAAAATATTTTGCAGTGCAACACTTGTAAATGTATTTGTTCTTGTGTAGTAATAAAAATGACCTTGTTCAATAAATGTTTTTAACTTATAACTATGTACATCCATAATTATTTTATTCCCAATTTAGTGACAACCCCTAGCATATTTGCAACAACTGCGAAAATAGTAAATAACTACACGGGCACCGGCATTGCTTGACATCAAAGGCCTTTCACAACTGTTAACTCTTTAAACTGTGTTAACAAGTCAAGTGATTGCCATAAAGCAACCCTGTCTACACTGTTATAAGCCTTTTCTAAGTCCATAATGTACAAAAAAAACCTTTTTAGTCAATTGCAAAAAACGTCTCTCAATTTTCAAAAAGAAATCTCTCTCCTTGCACTATTCAGATTTTAACAAAAAATGTTTTATATAAAAACTACAGATTTTTTAAGTAATACACAAATAAATAATTTAGATAATACAAACCTTGGAAATACAACCGATCCTTCTTCTATAGCACTCAGCTTAATATCCTTACATGTTAAATCTTTTAAATAGGCAAAAAACTCAGGTTCAATGTTATCCGGTAGTATCTGCATTAAATATTCAATATCTGCAAATAAGTTTTAGAAGGTAACAAAATAGCTTATTTCATAAACGTTTACAAGTTTCAATATTAACAATACATACCACTATCTGAATAATGAAAATTTTGTAAAAATTTAAGGCACTCTTCCAGGCCAGCAAATATAGTAAACTCTCCTTGAAATGGATTAGTACGGAAGAATAAGTCAAATACAGCCACATCATTTACTTTTCCAGATTTCCAATATGCATATGCCATTGTTATCTGGTACAAGTCTGTAAAAAATAATAATTTTTATTCTTTAATAACAGAAAATACAAAACTCTAATAAAACCATTATAATAAGTACAGAGAGTTACATTACATTACAGTATTTATTTGAATTACAAAGTTCAACAATATCTATCTATCTTTGCATTTTAAAATTCGCTCCAAAAATAAATTTAATTATTCGGCTACATACCAGTTAGTAAGGGCTGGACTATTCCATTCTGACGAGCCATTATTCTATTTGTAGCTAAATCTGTGTTAGACATTTTCGTTGCAAGATAACTGATGAACACAACAGAAGTAAATAGGAACGTTTGTAACGTCTGTTAACTGACGAACGACTAAAAGAAATAATTTCATAGTGATGAGCAAATCATGCTTATCAGCGCGCCAATTTTGACAGAAAACGAAAAAACATACGCATGCGCATTCTATTGACTCAACATAAGGTCATTTATAAAGGTCAAACAAATCGGAGTTTTGGCGGGAACTTGAACGGTGGAGGATTGCTGCTCTTGTATTATTGTTTAAATACTGGTTTGAAGTGGATTTTGATATGTAAAAGTGGTGCGATTTTGTGTATTAAGTATGCGTATGTGAATTATTAGTGGAAACGGTGAAACAAGTGCTCTGGTCAATTCTCAAGATAAGGTCATAAGCACAAACTATATAGAAACATAAGGTGTCTGTTTAGGCGCCTTGAGATACCATCGCCAACTGTCAGTGTCAGATGTCAGCTGTCTGATGTCTGTTGGCTCAAGTTGCAGTCAAAATCTCCCAAGGATTGCACAATGCGACGCATCAACATATTGTGAAGCAGTGTACTATGAAGGTATGAAGGATAATTATATATACATTGTAACTTCAGGCTCAGAAGGGCTAGAACCCAGCGCCGTAAAGCCAGTTATAAAAAAATCAAATAGGTAAATCAAAACACGGAATATAATGCCGCCTACAGACGCTTGGCAAACAACGGCAAACACCAAACAACAAACACGAACGTGTGGATGGTTCTTTGCCTGTTTGTTTGTTTGTGATTGCCAGTGATCGGCGTTGGTGTCGGTTTTTGTGCACCAATCAAAGAGTGTTCGACAAACGTGTTTGCGATGTATCCACACGCTTGGCAATCACTTAGTACTCAGTAGTACGCGCGAGCTTGCGGGTGGCGAAAGGAGTTACTAGTAATAGTAGCTATTATTATTATACTCTAGTGTTAAGTGTTACCAATCCGAAATTTGTCTCGGAGGTAAATATTATTTCAGAAGTTGATAGTTTCCTACCAATTCTACTTCGAAAATTAGTAGATCTAACACTTATATTTTTTTAAGTTTTCTACAGAGCTCACAATAATAATGTGATACTCTTAATTAAAGTTTCTATTGGGTAACAAATATTTCATCTCTTTTTATAAGTAACCCCATGTGAAAGCAGGATCATTGATCATCAATTCCCAAAATAAAATCCGAATAAAAAATTGAAAATTGAAAAACGAATCACGATAAAATATATAGTATATCCTGATTTAATAGTTTTTTGAGTTCCGCAGTGTTGGCTACTCGCTTAAAAAATAGTTTATTATTTAAATCCTTTCGAAAAAAAACAATCTTACGATTAAAAAACATTGCCATTAAATTGTTCAAGGCACTTCAATTCGAAATAATCTATGTTAAAAATTAATAGATTCAATATAATGTCGAACGAAAGTTCGGGGTTCGATTCCCCGGTCGAGCGTTGATTTCATGAAAGTTTGTTTTTAGATTAATTTAGAGTCATGTGTTACATAGTAATCGACTGTGCAATACGAATGGAAGTATTATATTAAATTAGATATACTTATTTTAGATAAAAATATATTTGGCTCTTGAGAACATTCTGGTTCTTTTTGGATACCAGATAAGAAACATTATGACTGATAAGGATAGCATATGTAAACAATAATTTTTCATTTTTATTTCCTAAAGTATCTTCCAGCCACCTATTGATTACAGTCCCCAATATAAAGACCGGAACCACTTCAAGAGGACCCGTAATCTTAGTCGTCTCACCTTTCTTTTGAGAAAGGGCGGCGACCGTCCTTGTGTGACACTCCTTCACGGGGGTCGCATTCACCTCGTTGCTCCCGAATCTAACGTGGTGTGATTTCAGTTACGAAGTAGAACATCCATGAAAGACTAATTTGGCACAGTTATAAATATTAATAACGCCTACAAAACTGTGAAATAAAACCTTAAACTTTTTTATTTTTGGTACTTCTCATACAAGTAAATGTAGGATGATTTTTTTTTACCTGTCTATTCCATCATGTGGGGTATCGTTGGATAGGTCTTTCAAAAACATTGCGGATGTTGAACAACATCTTTTCGATTTAAGGGTCCGTTTGCGAAATATTTAGCTTAAAAGTGGTATTTTCATTAGTAATGTGTGCCCCTACCAACTAAACCGATTTTAATGAAAACGTGAAAAGTATACACAATAGTAGTATATATAATGAACTTAAAAGGAAAACTATCATTGCTAAGTAGAATAAAGAAGTTAACGAATAATAGTTGACCAATTAAAAATTTCGTTACATTTTTAAAGAAAAAAACCTAAAACTAGCTGCTTTAATAACTTTGTAATGTTATTGTAAGCTGTTAAAAATTTTATTTTAACATTATATTACCTTTACTTTTTCATTTGCGGGATAGATAGGGTTTTATTATCGCAGTCGAGAAGTTTTTTTAATCTAATTTGGATACTACTCCCTATAAGGCTTATTTGAAAATAAGTCCTTCAGTTACAATCTTCTACGGGCCCATTTTTAATCGTTATAGTGGTCAAACCGTGAACTCACTTATTATCATTGGAGCCCACAATTAACATATTATCAAGGAAGCCCACGTATTGTGACGGACAACTACGGAACCCTACCTCTACATTGAGCGTGGCCCGACACGCACTTGGCCAGTATTTAATTATAAATATTCAATTCCATTATTCGTATTAATAAACTTATTTGAATTTGAAGACAATTTATAGCAGTGATAGTTGAGAATTCATTTGGGATTCTATGGTAAATAAATTCTTCAATACAATAACCTTGAGAGCAATGCATATTGCCTTATTTTTGAATAAAAATAGGTCAACCCAAAAGTAATCGCTATCACAAACTCGTCGTCCGTCATGTTTGCCCATCCGGAATATACTAGCACGTTCGCCAAGCGTGTGGGTGCCGTGTTTGTGTTGGGTTAATGTGGTCGATGTTTGTTCGTGTATGGTGTTTGTGGCAAACACCAAGCATAAAAAAACAAGAGAAAGCCCAAAGTGGGCGGTGCAGGCGAGTATGAATTAGTGGCAGTATAGCGTAATTGACTGTCAGTCGCAGGCTCAAATTGTTACGAGCTGATGGATCGCTGCTTAAGTGATTGTCGTTTTGGGCAATATTGTAGTGTAAAAACGTGTAATTTTTTCCTTTTTTTTGGATAGTAACTTGACTAAACATAGACAAAATATCAAACTGCTTTTATTACAAGTAATATTCAACCTTATCTCCTTATACTAAGGTTTATCTGTAAATACATTTTGAATAGAAATAGCTGCGATAGCGTTGTGGCTACGCCGATATTAAATTTTTCGATAAAATTTTATCATAGTTCTGTTTATTCACTAACATACGAATGAAAATTTGCAAATACTGGATGTCTGAAAATATACGAAATTATAGGCTGATTCCCTATAGATGTACTTTTGTTAGGGTTGCTAAGCCAGAGAAGTAAGTTAGTAGTATAGTAATACTCACGACTTTTGGAAAGAAGCTGAAGTAAAAGTGATCTTAATATCACGATCTACATTAGTAATTAATTATCGTCTAAACTTTAATATTAAAGTCTGAAAACGATAATTTTTAACAAATATGTGTTATTTCAATGACAATAAACACTTGCAAAATTATTGTTTTTTATTATTTTCCTTGTTTCCATTTCATAAATGAAAATTTAGCTAGCAATCAATAAATTTCCATTAAAGACAATTAATTATATGCCGGCTACGGAATTACGGGGATATACGTAATACAATCAAAACGATTTCCAATAAATTTTGAATTTTACTCATTTTATCATATTTTTTTCAATTCTGTTTCTTCAGTCAATATATTTCATATACATGATAATAATTATTTGCTGAATATCGATATAAGCTTGTAACGGTCCTCAGTTGCCCCTGCAAAGGTCGACTGGGCTAGGCCCCATAGTAGCCCCCTCGACGAGCAACAGAAGGTTCGGGCCCGTGTGGCCTTTGAATACTTATTATATATAAGGGCTGGATAAGCAAACAAAAACTTACCGAGTTCCGGAGGTAGTGTCGACCACAAGGCGAAGTCAGGTGGTAAGTGAGGTGTATGTAAGTAATGTGTGAAAGTGTGTAGATGTAACCTGACGGCACCGACGTATTCTGAGAGCGGACCCACAGACGCCGCTTTCCTCCAAAATGTGCCATCTCTCCAGTGGGCGTTCACCAATTGAAACATTCTGCTTTTATTTCACTATATTAGTTTATTAACTTTATTGTACATTTAATTAACCTCAAATTCAACCAAATCAACGTTAATCGAAATTAAAACAAGTGACACGCTGCACACCTTAAGAACAGTCGGTCAAAGTTCAATGTCCAAGTTTCACTTAGCACAAAATTATAACCACGAGCACGACCGCGATCTCTTCTCGAGTTACAAAGTTCAGTGTTCCACACGACAAAGAAAAATTCCTTCGCACGATATTAAAATGCCACAAAGCAACTCGTCGACGCAAATTAATGGTAATCAAAGTTAAGTTAATCACTCAAACTCAAAAATCAGCCTCGTTGTCACGAAACGTACAAATGGTTCGTACTCAAGTTAATGGTGGACACGCGAAAATTATTGAAATGGTACACAATTGTCATTACACATTTTTTTCTTGCGTATGTGTGAGTTTAGCGAGAGTGGTTCTGCTACAAATTATGCGTTTTGCTGCTTCCTCTTGTTTTTTATATTCCGTGATTCTGATGGCGGTCCGTCAGCCTACCTTCCTGGTTTGATTAAACTATGTATCTACATACTAATATTTAACAGGTAGGGTAGGTATCATTCATCATTCATCATTACAGCCTTTCATAAGTCCACTGCTGAACATAGGCCTCCCCCAAGGAATGCCACAAAGCACGGTCCTGAGCCACCTGCATCCATCGACTTCCTGCATGTCATCTCGTGGGGGGTTGCCCTACACTTCGCCTACTGGTACGAGGCTGC